TCTGTCTCTTTTACATCTGCGAATCACTCTTCTGTTTCCCCTCGGGAATTTTTCCCAATTTGATGTTCCTCCCCTCTGTGAAGTCCGAAGTCAACTAAAGAGCTAATGATAACTATTCAAAACGTTTGCCATTTGAAATAAATAAATACTAAGATAAACATAATTTCTTCCACATTTGAATTCGATTCAAATCAACAGAAAATGAATAGTTTCAAGCAAAATTAACATAGATGGAGTTCGTTGTAAGCCAAATCAGTGATCTTTGCTTTGGTTAAAATGAATTTGATAATCTCAACCATTTGCTTCTGGCTGTAATAAAATTTAGTTTTTTCAACAAGCGCTGAATATCACAAACATCAATTCGTCCAAAAGCCCGAAGGCCAATTCTTGAACAGTGAGTTTTGGAACAATAGGATATTACGCAGTGAATTACACTCACTAAAAAGAGTGAAGCTAGTTCTTACAGTAATCAGAGAATAAAGTGGATCTGAATGCTCATTTTGATCACACATTTATTTCCCATGTTGGAGTGTTTACCCTTTTTCTAAGTCAAATGTCAACTATATGAAAACTCGTATGCAAAACGCAAAACTTAGTGGACTTTGAGGCTACATTAGTACCTCTGACCTACACGAGCGGATGCATCCTTCCTTCGGCATTTCAAGTAGCTTTTACACATCATTAACGCCATGGAAATAGCCCTGTTGAGAGACAGATTAAATGTCTTTCTTCCAATTCCCTCATGTTTGACAGGGGCATCCGGATCTAAAATATGAATAACAATCTATTAAAAACTATACTTTACTTAAATTATGCAAACCATTTGAAGACTTTTAAAAGAAGACATGCACTGCATAACAAAGTTAATTTGAGAAGTATTGCAATGCCGAAACTGATCAATGGATAGGAATGGATTTAAAAATTAAGGCAAGTAGGCTTACCCAGACCTGTACCCGTAAATTGTGATGGTAGATTGTAGTAATTGCAGGTCCACTTCAGCATAGCCATGCAAGCTGTCAGCCGAAATTCCTCTATTAACACCAAAAGAATGACAAATATGAGGGAAATTTTGCTTGTCCATGACAAGGCATAAATGAACTCTCATTATTTAGCCCTCTAATTCGTTTTTATTCGAATGAAACTTCTAACATTAGGGCTGTAAATGGCGTATAATAAAATTGACAAATCGATATGACAATGCTATATATTGATTTGGGTAGCTGTGTGTTTGGTGTTACTAGACTGCGTTTGTAACAAAGGTGATTATACTGGGAAGTTAAGATTCGATTACGGTGACCTACGGAGAAGAGCTGATCACATCACAAAAGCGGGGCGCAAGGATAAATTTGTCTTTTAAATCGATCTGTTTTCTGAACTCATCCGATTGTCCAATGAAAACAAAAAAGCGGTGACTATGTTATCTTCAAATGCTTCTGAGTTCAACATTTTGGTGTTGACTCTAACTGATTTCTTGAGATCAATGACTAATAATTTTAAACGAAATGGACAGTGATTGTTTAAATTTCTTCCATCTTATAATAAGGGAGAATTAGGTAATAATGTTCAAAACTTTTTGACACAGCCAATCAATTAAGGCTAATATTGATTTATCTCGCATAATAACAAGAGCTAGATAAAGAATTTCTAAAGTGATGTATGTAGATCGATCACAATCTCTGCATCTGAAAGAATATGAAAAGCATCGTAAACGGGACATCTTTCATCGACATTTATATTCTAAGCAGATATAAAAGTGGTAAATATATGGGAGTTATCAAATGGGAAATCGGAGATGCCCCCTTAATAGGTTATTTTCCCGCAACAATTCCGCAATTGAATGAAGTAGATTTTAAGCTGCCTTCGTAGCACTTGAACATTACAACTGTTTTTTAATACATTTAACTAATAAATTTGTAATTTACATGTTTGTAGGAACAAAAATGGGCACTATTTTTAATCAACCCCCCATGTCGTAGAGACACACTAGTGAAATAGCACCGGTCTTAAAAAATTTGCTCACTAAACACCGTTTGATCACTGCAGTACTGTTTGTTACAAGGGTTACCCATGCCAATTCTATGCATTATTCTGCAAGAGATAATAATCCTTCGGTATAGAATGAAATATAACTTCTGACTGGTAATTACAATAGCTAATTTAAACTTACTTATAAATCGGGCTTTCTCTTCTTCGGAAGTTATGATATAGCAGCGCGGAAAAATGGAGTCTTCGCTTTTGTCACTGAATTGAGTAATGTGCTTTAACTGTCGACAGAGTCCTATCTAAAAGGAAATAAATAAATAAATTTATTTATTTCAAATGGCGGGCGTTTTGATAGCTACCATTAGCCATTTAGCTGACTTCGGGTTTCACAGAGAGGAGGAGGAGCATCAAAGTAAAAGAAAGTCAAGGGATGGGAAACAGAAGAGCGATTCACAGATGCAAAAGAGGCAGACAGACACAAAGGTAGAGAAAAAGGTAAGGTGAGTATAGTGAAAGGAGTCGAATATGACAACCAGGGGGGTCGTGGAAGTTTGAAGTCAGAAATCAACTGCCGGTTAATAGACTTTTTTGCCGTATGAGTATACGTTGCCCAGGGTGCACCACGTGGAGGTAAGTCTATCGCACACCCCAAAGGAAATAAATTAAATACACAGACTCCGCACAGCTCTTATTAACTGTTCCAAAGAGAAGAAAATTTATTCAAATTGAAGGCAGATGAAAATGCGGTTACGTCATGTAATAACTAACACCCATATTGGGTAGTGAAAATCTCAAATTCCATCAGTATCTTCATTAACCAGACCTTTCAGTGTGCATGGTTATTCCGGCCTCCTCCATTGGACATGAAACAATCATCGAATTAACCGTGACACCGCGCACCGTCTGTAACCATCCCCTCCCCAACTCCTTCAGTGATCTTGCTTCTTATGACCCAGAAGTCTAGATCAAAATTTGGAAAAGTGTGGCAAGTTTCAACTGTGGAAGCAAGAAAAACGTCAAAGAGGAAGAACAGACTATTCAAACCCTCAACTATCTATCTTCAGATATTAGTGAGAACCAGTACTCTGCTTGGTAAAACCTAAAAAAGAGGAATTTAACTTGAGTTAACTTTTCTCCTGAAAGGATGGATTCTTCGGCATGCATTTAATTAAAAAGCACTGTCAATCCCCACAAGAAAGTACTCAGGGTGTGTACACTCTCCCCACTTACCCCAGCAGATGTTTATAAAAAACAGTCTAAATTAGCATCTCTTAAAAATGCTAATAAATGCTGAGACTTAAACAAAGGCGGATTCATTTTAAATAAATTTTATTGAGATAAGAGTTTGATCTGAAGGGAAGATTTTATGTTTAACTATACCACAAGTATAAAATTTTTTCTAAAATGGTCTTAAATAAAAACGCGAAAAAGCATAAAGAGCTGTTTACAATCTGGGAAAACCGATTTCTTAGAAATAAAAGTAACTTCAAACCTTTTCATATTTAACCACTTTTCCTCAACCGGCAATCACGTTCAAATATTTTGACAGCGTTTCTACTACTATTGACAAGGTGCCAACTGTTGACAACCTTTAAAAATTTGTGAAAAGTTGAATAGAAATTTAAGCTGAGTTAAGGAATTTCCTATAGCTCATTGCCCAAGGGGATTTTACATTCTCTCCTTTGTATTATAGCTGTTTTAAGAAGTAAGGGTAGGCTATTTTAGATATGAAAAATTTAACCAATAATAAGCAAAGTTAGTCCATATGGGATAAAGTGAATTTCAAATCAGACAAATTGCTTGTATTCTATTGGATAACCATACTGGCAACCGTAACATCTTCACAAATAGGAGTAGAGGGAGGGTAAAATAGACGATAAATAAACTGCTAGAGCACTTTAAGTAGCTTCTAATGCAAATTATTTGACGCTCTATGTAATTTTCGATCCTATTTTCTAGACAAATCGATGATTAAACATTATTTCAATATGGAAATAGAGGAAACATAAAACAAATCATTAATTTCGCCAGGAGGAAGTAATTAAAATTGTTAAAAAGTAATTTTATGTAAGCTTCGGAGCTCTCATTTACAATCTTAACATGACTTGACAAGCCAGATTGAGTATAACGATTTAGAGGATTGAGTTCAGGTTAATTACCGTGTCTATGGCCTGGGAAACAAACAATAATTTGGTAATTACGGGTTGTGGGATGGTAACTGGATGGAGCATTACCGGAAATTAGTCCAGTTCAAGAAGTTAATAGACATTTATGCCAACATTTCGGGGTCTTTCAAATACTTCTGTCTAAATCATAGTTTACAAACTCAAACCACTGAGGGTTTAGGATGTACAAATGACCCAGAAATTGGATCAAACCATCGGAATGACCACTTATGGGTGATATACCAATTCTACTGGCAAAAAACTGTCAATCTTGCGGAATGAAAGAGGCTAGAGTGGGAGTATAAATAGAAGTATATTAGAATGTTCGGAATTGTCGTGAAGTTGTAATGTCTCAATTTAAGCAAAATTCGCATTAAAAGGAACTTACTTTCTTGAAAAATAAATTCTCAAGGATATTCAAACCAACCATTAATGTAAATAAATAAATATTGCCCATAAAATTGAGTATATCGAAGCAATTGATAATAGAGATTAAGCACCTATTACAAAACTGAATTGAATATACCATGACATTGCCTTATTAGATTTGTAGAATTTGTCATGCATTTTGCAATGAGACTTACAGCAACTGTTTGTTTCTCCAATAATGTTAAATGTATATGGTAGAGAATGCTTTTCTAATTAGTAAATATTCCAAAAGTACAGATGATTAAAGGTCATTCGGAGCTTGAGGAAATCCAACGTAACCTCAAGAATTAATTGCTTCATATTAGGCTTGTTTAAGTTGCGATCTAATAGTTTATCTAAATCAATCAAAAAATAGAAAAATAATACTTACCTACAAGCATTAAATAAATTTTAATGTGACTGGAATGGAACAGTCGAGCAAATTTTTACTTAACCCAAACCTTCACTAGTGGGGAAAAAATCTAGTACAATCTTCATCTAGTTACACAGAGAAAGAGTTAATCTTAAATTAAGCGCTCTTAAAAATCTTAAGAAATAGAATTCTAAGGGCAACGATGCTTGAATTTAAATCTCAACACTGAAATGCACGTAGAAGGGTAAGAAAGTCAAAAGCTGATGGCACGTTCCACCCAATACCTCTCGAAAGCCTGACGCCACATAACTTTGAACAATACATAGGGGAGAATCCCTGTTCTAAAGCAAAATGTCTATTTGTTTGATAGGTCTGAAATAGTTACTCTTCTCACTAAGAAATGTAGAATTACTTCTCCCACCCACCTCTCCGTTCTTCCCGCACTGCTAAAAATGATTTTAACATCATAAATGAAAGCTTACTCAGTTCAAATTTAAAAAAATAGGGGAAGCGTGATTGTCAAATTATTTCATAAAATAATGATCAGGTAAATTATAAATCTTTTACGATGTCAAAGTCGGAAGTAGAAATGACATAAATTATACTCGTTATAGCGAAAACATTTTTCGGAATAATTTTGCTTATGCAAACAATAATGGAATGGAATAATGGAAGTGTTAATCGATATTTCAGTAATAATAGGGACAAAATCGTTTATTAAGTCTGAGTTAGATAGGAGTAAGTTTAGCTGCCAACTTTACCTAGATTGGAAGAACTTGAACTTCATGACGTCGGTATTTTTAAGTAAAATTTTAGTTTCTTGTGATGAAAGGGAGCGGACACTTGGGTATTATCTTTATAACTACCTCCATATGAGATAGCAGATACCATGATATTGTACTAAGCCTGAGAATAAACTTTAATGCTTTTTAGACTGTTTTCCTGAAATAAGTTTTGTATCAGATATCTAAGGATAGATCTAGCTTCCATTTTCCCTTTTTTTAGCTGCATAACAACCAGCTAGTAAACACTGAGTCTAATAGCAAACAATGCCCAAAAATATCACAAGTCTATATCCAAATAAACAGATTTCGGAAATTCTACTCAAATTGGAATTTCAAAACCCTCAGTTAAAACTCGTATACTCAAGGTCGAACTTTTTATTTAGAGCTAGCACAGCGTAGATATGTCACTCTCGAGTCGGCTATTCCAAATTACACAGAAAAGACAAAATTAGTACGAAACACACGTCATTAGTCACAGTAAGCAGATGACATGAATGTTAAAGACCATTGTTTATAATATGACACTTAATTGAATAATTAATACTGCCAAATTAGACATAAAGCATCAACAAGAAAGCGTGCAAATTCGAGATAGATTATATAATTTATTAGGGAAAAAATATTATCTGCTTCAATAAATAACGAGGGTGAAATGTTAAATGAAATAGTATTAATAATGAGGATATTATTTACAAAAAAATAAATAAACGGAAGTGGGAGTGTGGCGGGTGGTTGAAATATATAATACCTAAAAGCTTAATTCATATTAATTCTCTAATTAATTTGCTTAACAAAGAAAGAGTCAAAGGATTTACAGGAGTTTCACTCCGAAGTTATTGTTTTATCAAAGGTGAAATAAAATCAGCAGCAAAAACATAAAATAAAACGATATTGCCCGTGACAGTTCTGCTCTAATAGTTCACTAATTGCTTCAGACAAGGAGCATCAGTTGATGCCATTAATACCATGATGTGCAAAAAAGCATAAAAAAACATTTCTAGGTGTATTTATTAGCAATTGAGTTCATGAAACAAGCCAAAATATTACAAGCCTGAGGTTGAAATCAATTTGGAAGTTAATCCCAGTTAAATGGATCCGTTTACTTATAATTGGTGCTAAGATGCTCGTTTCAAAATATCTTGATTTCAATACTACGTTTTAAACAGCACGGTACATCAATCTGATATTACATATCTCGTATAATGATGACATATCGATTATTGTATCACGAGTATTCCCTATAACGATCAGAATATGGCAAGATGTCATCTCACAGTTGCCACCTAAACAACAATGGCTTGACTAATGCTGCCCTTACTAACTTAAATCTAGATTTTACCGAGTGATTGACTAATTCGCATGCCAATCGTTTCCTTCGACGAATCATCTTAACGATAAAATGACTTTAAGCTAGTTGTCAGATTATTCGCCAAACACATTAATGGCCTAAAGTTAGAGAATAATACCAATCATTGAAATCACTTTCAAATAAATTAAAATGAAAGAGTTATTTATATGTCGACTTTTCTAATTTATTTGAAAATAAACTATGAGACATTAGCACTCGCCAATTTTCTCATTACCATGGACAATTTTCCGATTCATTCGTGTCTACGCGAAGGCAAATGTCACACAGACGCAACATCTGTCAACTATAATAAATTGGAACTTATTTGTTTACATTAAAAAGAAATTCTGTCCTGAAAGCTGATCTTTTGAAAAAAACTAATTTTTACCAAATTGCTCGGGAATAAAATGGTAAATTCATGAAATTTTCTCAATTATGTGTGATACAGCGTATTAATGTATTATGATGCAATTTGCAGTGATGGGCTACTCCATTCGAAAGATGACAGTCCCATTATTCGATTTATAAAAAAGCATCAAACTCAGGTGACAATCAAACTACATATAATCAACACGGGGGTGTGCGATAGACTTACCTCCACGTGGTGCCCCCTGGAGTCTATTATCGGCAGTTGACTTCTGACTCCAAACTGCCATGACCCCACTGTAGGCAGTTGACTTCGGACTTCAAATTACAATGACCCTACTGTATGTCATATTCGACCCCTTCTACAGTACTTACCTTACCTTTTTTATGCTTTTGTGTCTGTTTGTCTCTTTTTTCATCTGTGAATCGCTCTTCTGTTCCCCACCCATCGCCTTTTCTGTGAAGCCCGAAGTCAACTAAAGGGCTAATGATGACTATCAAAACGCCTGCTATTTGAAATAAATAAATAAATAATCTACACTAAAGTCCTAGGCATGACTTTGGTGATTATTTTGTATATTCTCTCATTCCGGGCTTATAAATAAAGATGATAAAATTGTCATACTTGACATTATTGGCCTCCTTTATGATATACCATCTAATCTCATTTTTCATGCTGCGCGCAATAGACTTACCTCCTCGTGGTGCACCCTGGGCAACGTATACCTATACGGCAAAATAGTTAATTAATCGGCAGTTGACTTCTGACTTCAAACTACTACGGCCCGAGTGTTTGTCATATTCAGCCCATTCCAGAATATTCGTCTTACCCTTTTCCTCGATCTTTGTGTCTGTCTGTCTATTTTACATCTGTGAATCATTATTCTGTCCACCCCTCTCGACTTTTTGTCACCTTGATGTTCCTCCCCCTCTGTGTGAAGTCCGAAGTCAGCTAAAGGGCTAATGATAACTATCAAAACGTCTGCCATTTGAAATAAAATCTCATCTTTCTTCATATATCTCATCGAATCTAAGCAAAATTAAATACTTAAATATTATTTCAATACTTAAATTTTAATTCCAATGTTTTTCTTGATTTTCGAATCTTTTTTTTATTAAACTGGTGTACGGCTACCCATTTTGAAAGTTCCTTAAGATTAGATGCTGCTATTCTTTTAATTGTCAAAAATAAAGGTTGCAAAAATGTATAAGAGATAAATGTCTACTTTAGTGGTGAAGGGCGTCTTGACGTGATGATTGACAATTTGATCGGGTCGGAGGTAGCGAAAATCAATATGGGCCTTCTTTAGTGACCAGATAAAATTCGGCACGGCGTCTTTCACATTTTTTCCCTAAAAAATGCAAATTGAAGGAGTGAATGATGTTGAAAAAACCTTCAAGACTCAAAGGTTTGTGATAAATGGTAGATTTTATTTAAAAATAGACCTATTTAAACATTTTGAGAGGCGCAATCAATGAATAAGCATATGCTATGTCTTTCTAAATGTGTACCCATCATTGTTATCATATTAACTTTTCAAGTTAATATGAAAAGAGCAAAATTACTTGTCAAAAGTGGGTTATTTCAATTTAAGTGGAGAATTAATTTTAATCCATTAGCTGAGGCAACAGAGTATGTAAGCAGAACATTATAATCATAATAACTAATTCTAAGTCTGCTATTTTCAGAATTAAATTAATAGTGTTCATCCAGTTTTCAAACAACTAAAACTTTTTACAGTAAATGAAATTTACTAAATTCAATTTTAATAGAATCCTTCAAGCTGAACTCATCCAGCTGCCTCAGAGTGTTTTAAAAGACAACTAATTGAGACGGCATAGTCAGGTATTAAATAATTTAACATGTAGAGAAAATTGTAAGCACAATTGCACGGGGAAATATGCTGAAATTGGATAGATCAGAGCTTGGTGTAATTGGCCTCAAAATATCGATTTGAATTAGAAAGTTTGGTAAGCTCAAAATTTTAACAAAGAGAAGTAAGCTTGCTGCCTTCCTGCATCGATCTTCCATCCCTTCTCTACCTACTAGGCAATTTTAGAAATCCCGTTGTTTCCATGCGATTTCTTGGAGCACCATGAAAATTGCACTTTTACATTATTAATAGCTTTCTTCTGGTTAACATTTTCTGGTTGAAGTAAAGTTGGACTCTTAATGACACCCGTTCCCCCCCCCCCCCCCCCCCCCCCCCCCCCCCCA